CTAAAGGGGAGAGCCTGCAAGAGCTGGCACAGGACTTGGAAAGCATGGCACACAAGGCCTACCCAACTGCACCACCCGATCTCTTCAAGCTGTTGCTGAGGGATCAGTTTATAGATGCCTTGGGCAGTCCACAACTGAAGATACAAGTAAAGCAAGCACACCCCTCTACCATGCAGGATGCAATGGCTAGAGCTCTTGAATTTGAATCCTACATTAAGTCCAGCACAGAGGTACCAAGGTTGGTACAGTCATCAGGATTCAAGGCCAAAAAGGGCAGCTTTCAGAGAAGTTTGAGGGATTTTGCTGGAACTGTAATAAACCTGGGGACAAGAGAGCTCAATGCTGGCAACTTCAACACAGGGGAGATGCCACAGCAGGAAAGGCTGCTATCCAGAAAGGTTGTTGGAACTGTGGAGAGCAAGGACATATGAGGAGCCTGTGTAAGTAGAATATTACCAATAAGTCAGCCTCAAGGAAACCAGTAGTGGTTCGTGTTGATGGACGCCTACCAACCCCAATCGTGAAAGTCCCAACAGCTAGGTGTAAAATGCCAAGTACACATAGTGTCTGTGTGACAGGAAAGCTGGATGACCAAAGGTGCAACTTTGTCATCGAATTTGCATCTCAGCAAACCCTTGTGAGTATCAAGGTGCTGGATCACAAAGGAGGACCAGAAGCTGTACAGAAGCTCTGTGGTGTGACAGGACATTCTGCAAGGTTGTGGGGACCAGTGTGGGTAACTATTGAGCTCCTAGGCATGAAGGACAGACAAAAAGTATACTTGGCTGACATTTAAAACCAATGCATATTAGGGTTGGACTATTTACTACCGAGGAGGTTTGTAATTAATTTTGATAAAATGGTGTTTGGGAACAACAAAGGCCAAATTCCGGTAACTGTTAAAAGAGAGGTTGAACTAACTAGGTGTCATCAAGCTGAAGTCAAAGTGACTGAAGGAGTTGATGATGGTGAAATAGAACCAGGTATAGATATTAAATCAGAGCAGGAGAAAGATCAAGGTTTGAAGCCAATATTTGATTTTCTAAAAGCAAGTGTTTTGCGCCCTGCTTGGGAGAAGGTGTCAAGTCTAAGCCCTGTGACAAAGTACTATTTGGCACAATGGGACCAGTTGAAACTTCAAGATGGTATCCTTCTCCGGAGATGGGAAACTGCAGATGGAAAAGTGACGACCTGGCAAACGGTTATACCGAGAAAGTTACGGGAAATTGTGCTGCGTCAATCCCATGATACTTTAACAGGAGGACATCTCGGAGTTAAGAAAACATTGAGAAAAAATACTTGGAAGTTCAGTTATCTCTCAATAGATGGAGAAAAAATACTAGGAAGTTCAGTTATCTCTCAATAGATGGAGAAAAAATAAAGAAAAATACTGAGAAGTTCAGTTATCTCTCAATAGATGGAGAAAAAATTAAGAAAAATACTTGGAAGTTCAATTATCTCTCAATAGATGGAGAAAATACTTGGAAGTTCAGTTATCTCTCAATAGACAGAGAAAAAATTAAGAAAAAAATTAAGAAATAAATACTTGGAAGTTCAATTATCTCTCAATAGATTGAGACTGTACTGAACTATTATTAAAAACCTTTACTTAAAATACAATAGAAGTAAGAACTGTTACTACCTTATATCTGCACAACAAACACGCCCTGATGCTCGTCCAATAACTATCAATTTAAATCCCTTTGTGTTCATTCCAGAATGAAATATGCATAATTTATGTTTATTTCATATTTTTTTACGGTGGTTGCGAGATCGTTCAAATTTTCCGGACCCAAACAGAAATTGATTACTGAAGACAATATATAGAATATAAAGTTTTCTATTAGCAAACGTTTGGTAACTAGTTGGACAATATAAAAATTTCGCATATGAAAGCTC